TGGCTCCCTGAAAGTAGGTTTCTGGGGTTTCGTTTAGCTTCTATATTTGTAATAATGTTTCTTAAACTGCAAGCTCAGAGGCCGGCAAGGCAGGCGGGGAACGTTAGCTTCCTCCATCACTAAAGCAAGCAGGCCTCCTGTTCACTTCAAGCTGCCTGGCTGCTGGCCGCCATCTTGGTTGGCAGTTAATTTGCATACCGCCCTGATTAGCCAATGGGAAGGGTAGCAGAGGTATGGCTAATTACCATGTTTCTCTATTATTAGATAGGATTCTCCTTATAGATACACTTTTATGACATTAGCTACAGATAAGAATAATATAAATAACCATTTTTTCTTTGATCAATTTTTCCATTTAAAACTGCAGATTGTTCTGTGGCAGCCAGTAACAGCTGACTTTATTGTAAAAGCAAAAGAAGTCCTTTTTTTTTTTGTGAATGCAGTTGATATAATCAATGTGAAATCCCATTTACATGAGAACAGAATTCCATTCAGGTAAGCATCGTTCAATATTCATTGAATAATTATTATAAGCACCCGCGAGGCATTTAACTAGCAGACGGTACAATTGCTTCTTGGAAAAAGAAATACTTATGTTAAATCTCCAAAACAGACTGATAAAGCCCAAGTAGCTGGCTTTGTGACCTTGAAAAAGTGGTTTAACCTCTCATGACCTCACTCCCTTATCTCAAGAGGGTTGTTAGACTCAGTGATCTGTGCAGTTTCTTATAGGTCTTTCTAATTCCTTCCTTCTTATAGTTCCTCTACTGCTCCGATCAGCAAAACGTGGCTCGCGAGCCACATGCGGCTCTTTGGTACAGTTTGCCAAACACTGCTCTACTGTATACCCAGACTTGGGGAGCAAAATTGTCATTCACTTGAGTAGACTTTATGGTACCTCTCAAAAAAGCAGCTGGTAAAGAAGATTTTGCTTCCTTCACTAGGTCATTGAACATCCCTGAATGTCTGCCTCGAGACTAAAGTGTAGCAAATGCAGTTTCTGCTCAGAGTTCATGCCCTCTTCCTTTTGAAGTCTCCTATCCAACATCTGCTCTCTGTGTCCATTGTTCAAATGTTCATGTCCTCCTGTTGCCCTAGTCCAGTGATGGCAAACCTAAGACACGCTTGTCAGAGGTGACACGTGAACTCATTTTTTTGGTTGATTTTTCTTTGTTAAATGGCATTTAAATATATAAAATAAATATCAAAAATATAAATCTTTGTTTTACTATGGTTGCAAATATCAAAAAATTTCTATATGTGACATGGCACTAAAGTTAAGTTA